GGTGGGGTCGGCCTAGGGAAGGTTGGAAGGGGGGGGTAAAGGGGTTTTTTTGTTAAGGGGGTTGGGCTTTCCCGCAGGGATCGGACGTGTTTAATTTTGGGTTAAAAGGAGACAAATGCTTTTTAATACTTGACGGGGTGTTGGATTTAGCAAAGTAAAAATTTAAAAAGGGTTCAAAGGGAAAATGGCAGGCCCGGGCTTCAGACCCGGGAAAAGGTAAGTACGTGCCTGCACTCTGAAGGAGGGGTGTTAATGTTTCAGTTTAAAAACTGAGTGTAAAGCAAACCCCCCCCCCGGGAAGACAGTGATGGAGTGAATATGGTGAAGTTTTCCGGCCACCCCCGCCTCGTTGGGGGAAAAAGGGCCCTGTGAAAAAAATACATATATAAATATATATATATAAATTTTTATAATATATATATTTATATATATAAATATATATATATATATTTATTTTATATATATATAATATTTTGGGCCCCCCCCCGGGTAAATTGTGGGGGCCCCTAGCCTCGGGAAATGGGGTAAAAAAGGGTTTTAAGGGAAGAATATTTGGGGTTTTCTTCCCGAAAACCCTTTGAAATAAATCCCCAAGTTTTTTTGGTTTTTTTTTTCCTTGGTTTTTGGGGGGGGGGGGGGGGGGTTTTGGGTTTTTGTTGGTTTTGGGGATTTTTACCCCCTCCCTTTTTAATTTTTTTTAAAAAATTAAAGGAAAATTTTATTAATTTGGGCCCCAAAAAATTTTAAAAACCCCCCCGGGCCCCAAAAAGGGGGCAAAAAAGTCCCCCGGTGTTTTCCCCTGTTTTTTCCCATTTAAAGGGAAAATCCATTTTCCCCGCCAAGCGGGGTTGGGCCCCCCAAAAAATTTTGGGCCAACCCAAATTTTTTTTTGCCGATTTTAGCCCCTGGAACGGCAGCTGCCCCCGGGCCTTTTCCCAGAGGGGTCGGTTCCCAAGGTAAGAAATTTAGAACCCCCCCCCTTTCCCCCAAGGGGGAAGGGGGCCTCCCGGGCCATTTGGGCCAAAAAAAATTAAAAGTTTGGGGTTCTCCCCTATTTTCTAACTTTTGGGCTCCCCCCTTTAAATTTTTATTCCCCAATCCTTCCCTTTATTGGAATTTTGTAAACCCCGCCTGGGTAGGAAAATTTGACCCACCAAACCCCCTGGTTCCCAAAAAGGGGCCAAGGTTGAAGGGGAAACCAACGTTTTGGCCTTTCGGGGGGTTTCCAAGGCTATTTGGGGCCCCAACGGGCCCCAGGGTGGGGGGCTCCCCCTTTAAAGGGGGTTTTTTCCCCCCCATTCTTGAACTTTTCAATTTAAGGCAACCAAAATACTGGCCCCCCCGAATCGGTTTGTGTTTTGGGTTTCACACTGGGTTTCGGCCCCAGAATTTAAAACGGGCCCAGTCGAAAGGGCCCCACCAAACTTTTCCCCGTGGTTTAGGGGTGGGCCAAGCCCCGGGTTAACGAAACAGAAAGCCCAAGCAATTTAGGGGGTTTTTCCCCCATGCCCCAAACGGCTTAATTCTTCCCCCTGCCCGCTTTTGAGGGAATTTCCAAACTGGGGAAAACCCGGGGGAAATTTTTTTTGGGGGGAAAAAGGGTTTTTCCCAAAAAAAGGGTTTTTGAATTTAAAACCCCCAAAAAAAAAATCCCCCGGGATGAATTTTTGGTTCCTTTTCTTAATTTTTAAAGTCAAAATTTGAAAAATTGTTAAAAAAACTCTCATCAAAAAAAAATAAAACAGAAAAAAGGAAGAAAAATTTTGGAATGTTGGAAACCCCCAAAAGATTTTAAGTAGGGTTGGTCCCCTCCCCCCGCCCCAGACCTGGTTTTCCCAAAAGGGGTAATTACCCCCTTTGGGGTTAAATTTAACCATTTTTTGGGGGAATGGAGGGGGAACAAAAATAAAAAGAATTCCAAAAAAAAGAAAACAATCCTACCCATGAGTTTTGAACTTGTTTAGTATTAAAGTTTTAAAAGTAAATAAATAATAAAAAAAAATTCTTTTTTTAAACCAAATAATAATAAAAAATTTTTAAAAACTAATTTCTTAAAATTAAAAAAAAGGGGGAAAAATAATTAAAACAAATTGTGGAAAAACCCCAAAAGTTTTTGGCAATATTTCAATAAGGGGCACTCAAAAAAGCCCCAGATCGAACCTTTTTAAAATACGGTCACTTTTCCCAGTTTCCTTTTTTATTTCCAAATCTTCCAAATTTATTCCGGGTTTGGAACAATTCCCAAGGGGTTTTAAGCGTATTTGGGGGGAAGAATTACCCTTTTTTAACTAGCTTTTTAAGTTTTGCAATATTCCCCCAATTTTATGGTCTTGGGCCCCTTTTTTGGATTTTTAAGGCATTAAGAGGGGCTCCTTTTTTCAAAAACTTAAATTTAAAAGAAAAAAAACACCGTGTTTTTAAATTTAACCTTATACAAAAAACAACATTTTGTGAAAGGGGTAACATGCTTTTTGTGGCATGTTAAATTGGGTAACAAGCTGAATAAGTTTGGGAACCACTGTTCTAGAGTAAGGTTAAGTACTTTCGTAAAAATCTGCCTCAGAATACTGTCATATTCGTGCAGTATAGGGTTATCATATGAAGGTGCACATCTTAGGAAATATGTCAACCTGGGCAGACTCAAGCACTTTGTGAGAAGGTACAAGGCATCGTGGGTGTCCAGATTGCCTATTCGTTGTTCCATTCTCCTTAACTCTTCCAATTTCTTCCTGAGAATTGTGTCAATGGCATTGCTTCCCAGAGGTGCTCCTAGCAAGACACTATTTGTGGGGGCAATGACTGCTACTCCTGGTAGTTTTGATCTCACTGCATTTATCAATCGTTGACTGACTGAGATGATTTCATATTTGGATGGATTCAGGATGAGACCCATTTCCTGTCCCCGTGTCATTACCTGTGTAAGGTCATGTAGGAGGGACTCCTTTGTACCTGCTAGTCTGCCATCATCTAGGAACCAGATGTTCAGTTCGCTGGTCAGTCTGACTGTGATTTCCCTAACTGCTATACAGAAGAGAAATGGTGCAAGAGGATCTCCTTGTTGGACACCCTCCGATGATGTGATTTCATGCTCTCCAAAGAGAAGCAGTGATTCCTTGCTAAACCCAGCTGAAACATAAGGGAAGAGACCAGGGAAATGTTCTTGTACTGTTGCTAATACCACGTCTCTTTTCAGGAGATTGAACGCATTCTTGAAATCTAATTTTACCAATGCATTGTCCTCAGGCAGGTTGTTGATATACGCCTTTGTTGCATGAACCGCTGCTTCACTTCCTTGAGAGACCCCAAAGCCAAGCTGGTTTGGTTGAAGCATCATGGCTGCCTGTGCAAGAATACTTCGGACAGCAGCTTTGGATACGAGGCGGCGTAACGTGTTGCCTACTGCAATTGGCCGAATTCCTCCATCCTTCTTTTTAAGTGCACAAAGTGTTGCACCAAAAAAGAAAGGTCTAATTTCATCAGGAATCAGACCAGCCAAGGAATTGTTGACGAACCTTGTAATCTCTGAAAGCAGTGTCTCTGCAATTTCCCCAATAACTGGATTAAACATTTCCTTTAAATGCTGTGGCCTTATTCCAGTGTAACCCCCAGCAGAGCCAGATGGGAATGACATTATTGCTTTGTAAATGTCTGAGTCTTCCACAATCAATGGTTCCATATATATAAATATATATATATATATATATATATATATATATATATATATATATATATATATATATATATATATATATATATATATATATATATATATATATATATAAATGTATATGTTGTGCCGAATATGTAAAACTGGTCAGTTAGCAAGAACTCATTTAAAATTAAGTCCTTTCTAAAATTTTCTCTTATACGTTTAAAGATATATTTTTTTCATTAATGTTGATGTAAAAAATTTTAATTTTGCACCAAAAGGAGCTTAGAAAACTTACCTAACCTTGTTATAGCAAGCGCAATTTATTTTAACCTAACCCAACTAAATATATTTTAGATTTGTTTACAATAATTTAATACTAAACAAACACAGTGAAATGTATTTTTTTCGTTAGGTTCAGAATGATTTTGGCGAAATTATTACATACACAAATTTTCACTTGTCCTATATGGCAAGATGAGCGTTGCTATTTAAGCCAAGATCGCAAGTTCTGCCTATTCTGCACGACATACATATATATATATATATATATATATATATATATATATATATATATATATATATATATATATATATATATATATATATATATATATATATAATATATATATATATATATAATATATATATATATATATATATATATATATATATATATATATATGTATATATAAGATAGGGTCCACCTTTGGTGCAAATTGTGAAACCCATAGCCTTGGAGAAGTTGATAGAAAGCCTTCAAGGAAGAATATTGGATTTCTTCCCGAAGCTATTTGAATATTACACTTCCCTACCACCCCATCTTTTCATTCTTTTTTACCAGTATGTTCACACACGCTTGATGGAAGTTCAAGCCCCTCGTACACAAAACCTTCTTTACCCCTTCCGTCCAACCTTTCCTAGGTGGACCCCTACCCAGCCTTCCCTTCACTGCAGATTTATACATTCTCGAAGTCATCCTATTTCATTCCATCCTCTCTACATGTCCAAACCATCTCAGTAACCCCTCCCCAGCCCTCTGGATAATAGTTTTGGTAATCCCGCACCTCCTCCTACTCTCCAAACTACGGATTCTCTGCATTATATTCACAACACACATTGCCCTCAGACATGATATCTCTACTGCCTCCAGCCTTCTCCTTGTTCCAATATTCACAACCCATGCTTCACACCCATACAAGAGCGTTGGTATAACTATATTCTCATACATTTCCCTCTTTACTTTCATGGATAAAGATCTTAGTGTTTCATATTAGAAAAAAATATATTGCTTTAGTGTTCAAATTTTTTAGGGTGCAAAAAAAAGTTTAATTCAATCAAGTTTATTCAGTCAAAATGTGCATTAGAAGTACATGTGAAGCAAATAAATGAATATATTTCAAGCAACAACAAATGATAATTTTATTTACTGGTAATATATATGAAGCAACAATTGGTGTAGCAGGTGATAACTGCTGCTGCAGCAACCGCAACAAACTCTATTAATGAAGCTTTTACAAGACCAATAAATACGGCAGCTGGCAAAGCAGCTGGTACAATCATACAATAATTGTTTCTTCCACAGCCACCTTGGCTGCTTGATCATAATCTGGTGACTGAGAATGATAACTTCTGCAATTGTTATGTTAACGTCCACCTCCAACTCCCGGATTTCCAGGAAGTCCAGGAGGCCCAGGAAGTCCAGGAGGTCCAGGAGGTCCAGGAGGTCCTGCAATTCCTGGATTTCCTTGAATTCCTGGATTTCCGTTGGTACCGTTTATTCCAGGAGGTCCCTGAATTCCCGGTGGCCCTATTGGTCCTACAGGTCCTACTGCTCCAGTTGCTCCTGCAGGTCCAGGACTGCCTGCAGGACCAGCAGGTCCTATAAGTCCTGCAGGTCCAACTGGTCCTACAGGCCCTGAGCTTCCATTCGCCCCTGGCGGTCCTATTGGTCCTGGAACTCCTGGAATGCCTTGAAGACCTTGGCTACCATTAGCACCAGGAGGTCCTGGTTGCCCATTAGTACCATTGCTTCCAGGAGGACCTGGTAAACCAATCGAGCCTGGAACACCATTAACGCCAGGAATACCATCCATGCCATTGCTTCCGTTTTGACCAGGAGGACCAGGAGGACCAGGAAGACCCTTATGGCCTTGATGTCCTTCAGGTCCACGAGGACCCACAGGTCCAGGCACACCGGGAGCTCCAACAGCACCAGGGGCTCCAGGAGCACCGGTAGAGCCATCAGATCCCGGCTTACCAGAAGGACCAGGAGCACCAGCAGATCCATTATATCCATTTGATCCAGGAATACCAGGAGACCCATCCTTTCCAGGAGGACCAGGAGAACCGGGAGCACCATCTGACCCAGAAGGACCACGCTCACCAGGAGAACCATCTTCTCCAGAAGAGCCAGGAGAGCCAGGGGCACCAACAGGTCCAGGAGAACCATGAGTTCCATTAAAACCAGGAATACCATCGATTCCAGGATGGCCAGGAAAACCTGATCCTCCAGGAGGACCAGGAGATCCAGGAACACCGGGAGAGCCATCCTTTCCAGATGAACCAGTAGCTCCAGACGCACCAGGAGGTCCAGATGGACCAGGAGGTCCAGGAATACCTGGGGCACCTACGGGTCCTGCAGGGCCCTTAATAACATGTGTGTGTGACGACTCACTACCAGTACCTGCAAAGAACTTATGTTACACCTAAGACTGATAAAACAAGTGATTTCACAATAATGTTATTATCTTGATTCTATTAATAATAAATCGATCCTCGACTATCACTTACTCCTTTGATTAAAGGAGCGATAAACCCTTCAAGGGAGGTTCCTTGACGTCGGTGAAGGGCTCTTGATCTAGGGAATTGGATCTGTGCAACGGTTCCCTGAATTGAGCCTGATTACCTTCCACCCACTCCCAACATGCGTTGTATAATCCTTTGATTAAAATAAAGTAAAGTGCATGGTATGAGGGCCAGCATTGCTGTGAAGGTGGAATATAACAAACTGTCTACACTCACTCGAACTACAATCGCACAATCATAGTTATTGCTGCAGCTATTTGCCTTGATCATCCAACTGTTCACCTCTGATGATCACACAACCTTTGTTATAGTCAGTAATGTCCACCTTAAATTTTGAGCAATGCAGTTTTGACTTTTCGTTTACATGATCCATTCAACTTAGAGCAACTAAAAGTCACACGCATCACCATCCAGAATTTTAATAGTGTCTTCCATCCATATAAAAAATAGCATGACTTAACCAAGCCGCAGTAAAATGTTAATATTAAGTCAGATTTTCACCTTATCTAGCCTAATCTCACGGAATTTTTCACTTGAGAGGCAGAGAATGATTTGTTATTCTTCTCTGCTGAAGAACTTCAAAAAAATGGTTTGCATATTCGTCCTACCGTGATCATCGAACATTTAAAACCTACAAAAATCTATTGCATTTTTTTAACAAAAATTTCTTTGACGAACTATGTTGCACGGCACTGAGGACTCCCTTTTAATTCCCGGTATAGGTGGACTTTATATCGATATCGTATGAGGCGACTAAAATTCCGGGAGCAATGGGCTAGTAACCCCTTCTCCTGTAGACATTTACTAAAAAAGAGAAGAAGAAAAACTTTATAAAACTGGGATGCTTGAATGTGCGTGGATGTAGTGCGGACGACAAGAAACAGATGATTGCTGATGTTATGAATGAAAAGAAGTTGGATGTCCTGGCCCTAAGCGAAACAAAGCTGAAGGGGGTAGGGGAGTTTCGGTGGGGGGAAATAAATGGGATTAAATCTGGAGTATCTGAGAGAGTTAGAGCAAAGGAAGGGGTAGCAGTAATGTTGAAGGATCAGTTATGGAAGGAGAAAAGAGAATATGAATGTGTAAATTCAAGAATTATGTGGATTAAAGTAAAGGTTGGATGCGAAAAGTGGGTCATAATAAGCGTGTATGCACCTGGAGAAGAGAGGAATGTAGAGGAGAGAGAGAGATTTTGGGAGATGTTAAGTGAATGTATAGGAGCCTTTGAACCAAGTGAGAGAGTAATTGTGGTAGGGGGACCTGAATGCTAAAGTAGGAGAAACTTTTAGAGAGGGTGTGGTAGGTAAGTTTGGGGTGCCAGGTGTAAATGATAATGGGAGCCCTTTGATTGAACTTTGTATAGAAAGGGGTTTAGTTATAGGTAATACATATTTTAAGAAAAAGAGGATAAATAAGTATACAAGACATGATGTAGGGCGAAATGACAGTAGTTTGTTGGATTATGTATTGGTAGATAAAAGACTGTTGAGTAGACTTCAGGATGTATATGTTTATAGAGGGGCCACAGATATATCAGATCGCTTTCTAGTTGTAGCTACACTGAGAGTAAAAGGTAGATGGGATACAAGGAGAATAGAAGCATCAGGGAAGAGAGAGGTGAAGGTTTATAAACTAAAAGAGGAGGCAATTAGGGTAAGATATAAACAGCTATTGGAGGATAGATGGGCTAATGAGAGCATAGGCAATGGGGTCGAAGAGGTATGGGGTAGGTTTAAAAATGTAGTGTTAGAGTGTTCAGCAGAAGTTTGTGGTTACAGGAAAGTGGGTGCGGGAGGGAAGAGGAGCGATTGGTGGAATGATGATGTAAAGAGAGTAGTAAGGGAGAAAAAGTTAGCATATGAGAAGATTTTACAAAGTAGAACTGATGCAAGGAGGGAAGAGTATATGGAGAAAAAGAGAGATGTTAAGAGAGTGGTGAAGCAATGTAAAAAGAGAGCAAATGAGAGAGTGGGTGAGAAGTTATCAACAAATTTTGTTGAAAATAAGAAAAAGTTTTGGAGTGAGATTAACAAGTTAAGGAAGCCTAGAGAACAAATGGATTTGTCAGTTAAAAATAGGAGAGGAGAGTTATTAAATGGAGAGTTAGAGGTATTGGGAAGATGGAGGGAATATTTTGAGGAATTGTTAAATGTTGATGAAGAGAGGGAAGCTGTGATTTCGTGTATAGGGCAAGGAGGAATAACATCTTGTAGGAGTGAGGAAGAGCCAGTTGTGAGTGTGGGGGAAGTTCGTGAGGCAATAGGTAAAATGAAAGGGGGTAAGGCAGCCGGGATTGATGGGATAAAGACAGAAATGTTAAAAGCAGGTGGGGATATAGTTTTGGAGTGGTTGGTGCAATTATTTAATAAATGTATGGAAGAGGGTAAGGTACCTAGGGATTGGCAGAGAGCATGCATAGTTCCTTTGTATAAAGGCAAAGGGGACAAAAGAGAGTGCAAAAATTGTAGGGGGATAAGTCTGTTGAGTATACCTGGTAAAGTGTATGGTAGAGTTATTATTGAAAGAATTAAGAGTAAGACGGAGAATAGGATAGCAGATGAACAAGGAGGCTTTAGGAAAGGTAGGGGGTGTGTGGACCAGGTGTTTACAGTGAAACATATAAGTGAACAGTATTTAGATAAGGCTAAAGAGGTCTTTGTGGCATTTATGGATTTGGAAAAGGCGTATGACAGGGTGGACAGGGGGGCAATGTGGCAGATGTTGCAGGTGTATGGTGTAGGAGGTAGGTTACTGAAAGCAGTGAAGAGTTTGTACGAGGATAGTGAGGCTCAAGTTAGAGTATGTAGGAAAGAGGGAAATTATTTCCCAGTAAAAGTAGGCCTTAGACAAGGATGTGTGATGGGGTTGTAAGAGAAGTAAATGCGAGGGTCTTGGCAAGAGGCGTGAAGTTAAAAGATAAAGAATCACACATAAAGTGGGAGTTGTCACAGTTGCTCTTTACTGATGACACTGTGCTCTTGGGAGATTCTGAAGAGAAGTTGCAGAGATTGGTGGATGAATTTGGTAGGGTGTGCAAAAGAAGAAAATTAAAAGTGAATAGAGGAAAGAGTAAGGTTATGAGGATAACAAAAAGATTAGGTGATGAAAGATTGGATATCAGATTGGAGGGAGAGAGTATGGAGGAGGTGAATGAATTCAGATATTTAGGAGTGGACGTGTCAGCGGATGGGTCAATGAAAGATGAGGTGAATCATAGAACTGATGAGGGGAAAAGGGTGAGTGGTGCACTTAGGAGTCTGTGGAGACAAAGAACTTTGTCCATGGAGGCAAAGAGGGGAATGTATGAGAGTATAGTTTTCCCAAATGCTCTTTTTATGGGTGTGAAGAAATGGGTGATGAATGTTGCAGCGAGGAGAAAGGCTGGAGGCCAGTGGAGATGTCATGTCTGAGGGCAATGTGGGGTTTGTGAATATAATGCAGAGAATTCGAAATTTTGGGAAGTTAGGAGGAGGTGGGGGATTACCAAAACTGTTGTTCCAGAGGCTGTTGAGGTGGTTCGGACTTGTAGAGAGAATGGAGCGAAACAGAGTGACTTCAAGAGGTATCAGTCTGTAGGGGAAGGAAGGCGGGTAGGGTCGGCCTAGGAAAGGTTGGAGGGAGGGGTAAAGGGGGTTTTTGTGGTGCGAGGGGCTTGGACTTCCAGCAGGCATGTGTAAGCGTGTGTGATAGAAGTGAATGGAGACAAATGGTTTTTAATACTTTACGTGCTGTTGAGTATGAGCAAAGTAACATTTGTGAAGGGGTTTCAGGAAACCGCAGCCGGACTTGGGGTCCGGGAGATGGGAAGTACAGTGCCTGCACTCTGAAGGAGGGGTGTTAATGTTGCAGTTTAAAACTGTAGTGTAAAGCACTCTTCTGGCAAGACAGTGATGGAGTGAATAATGGTGAAATTTTTATTTTTCGGCCACCCTGCCTTGGGGGGGAATCGGCCAGTGTGATAATAAAAATAAAATTATAAGTATGTGGAAGATATCTTGTTTTGTGACGACAAATGAAAGTATTGAAAATTTTTCTGATAAAATTTTTTTTGGTATTGCTATTTAATTCACCATGTAAAAGATCAAGAGGATCCTATACCCTTCCTGGATGAATATATAACACATGGATACCATATCATGTGAGTACAATAGGGACTAAGGGAGGAGTAAATAGGGATAAATTTGTTTTATCTCAGATAATAGTTAAAAAAGAAGTAACATAAATTTAAATAATCACCTATAGAGAAAAACAAGGGGGATTTAATGTGCAAGTGAACAAAAACTTAAATAAAGGCGAGGAACTGCTTGACACATTTATGGATTTGGAAAATGCATATGGTAATACGAATAAATGGAATGGATAGGCTACAAAAGGCAAAAGAGAACTTTAGAAAGTAATGAGACTCAGTATATGCGGAGAGTTAGTATTATTAATACATACAACCATATACTTATAAAGTACTCAAAAGCATTTTTCTTTTTTGGAGCAACCCTTGGCTTTGACCCTCCGACACTTGGACCTCTTCGCCCCAAACACCATCCACCTAAGTCTTCACAGGTCTTGTCTCCATATCCGCAACACACCAAAATCTCATTTCCTTCAGTTTTCTCTTGCGCACCTTCAGTCTATCCGAATTTCCATATTTTTTGTATCGTGTCCATTATTCATCCGTTGGCGTTTCCTTTCTTAATTGTCCTCTTTCTGTTTGTTTTATGTATCTTGACGCCGTTGTCATCTGAAGAACAATAAATTTATTACCGGATAAATGAAATTTATACACATGAATAAACAGATGCGATCCCCACTCCTCTGCTTTCTCTCTCCTCTCTCTCTCTCTCTCTCTCTCTCTCCTCTCTCTCTCTCTCTCTCTCTCTCTCTCTCTCCTCTCTCTCTT